ACATCAACATGTTGATTAGTGTTAAGGATATGACATATATAAGAAGTGGCAACTGCGCGAGGAAGTGGCAACGCGGGTGACCTTGTGTCGGTTGACAGAAGAAAAAGACAGACTGAAATAAGACATTGCAATGGGCTCTTTCACAAAAAATAAAATACCCAATTCAAGGACAAAATATGAAATAGAAGACTATTTTCAGTATATTTATCCAAAAAAAAAATAGTTCCATAACATTGAATAATTTTTCGAAATTAAATTAAAAATTCACTTTAATTCGAAATAATTTTAAAATGCCAATTGATGACGTATGAAAAATACGCCCAATCACATTGCAGAACCGTGCTTGTGCGCCAGCCAACAACTGGCAACATTGCGATTTGATTTGAGCAGCACCACCTCAACTCAAGGCCAATCAACATGATATGGGCAAGGCAAATATGGCGGCGAAGGCAGCGCATTATTAAATTGTTTACCTTTAACCTGAAAAGCCGGTAGTGGTTTCTCGTTCCGATTGCATACCAGAAATAATTAATTATCTCTAGTTTGTTGTGCTTCTGCAACATGTTTGTTTAATTCTTAGTGTTCAGTGCATGGTGTGATCAGAAAATTGTGATAAAATAACAGTGTAATAAAAATCCAAACCAAACATTCTACATAGGGAACTCAAACTTTTGTGCTTGTCGTACTCTTCTATTATTAATTATTTTAAGGTAAGAACTAGAAGTATTTATCAATATATTACACCTAAATGAGTAAAAAGCCTTCGCCGCCAGTCTGCATAGTACTTTATAATAGTTACTTACAATAATCAAAAGATAGGTATTAAAGGGTAGGTATTAACATTTTATTGTAGCATGCCTTTTACATGCTCTGTTCCAAATTGTCACGGGAATAGAGGGGGTGCCAAGGTTTCTGCTTTTATATTCCCCAAAAATGACGAGCTGCGTAAAAAATGGTTGACAGCTATTAAAATAGATAATTTCACTCCTACTAGTAGTTCTCGGGTAAGAAATGCATTAAATATGCCTCAAAAAGGCCAAAGGCCAAAGCCTCTGTTACCCTAGTGAGGATGTAGTTATGGCTACTGCTTACACTTACCTCACTATAAGTAAAATATTGGAAGAAGAATCAAGCTTTTTACATCAAAAAGATCACAGAAAGATATTGACAACATTGACATATGAAAATATAAATGGCCTGGATGTAAGTCTTTTTTTAGGTCACAATTGCCCCTCACATACGTCAGAATTTATTATTAAATCCATCTTGTTCAGAATATCCAATATTTTATTGAAGAACTATGCAAAAAAAAGGAGTTACGTCTTTACCACAAAGACAATGCTTTATGTAAATAGAAAGAGTAAAGAAAACTAAGCTAAGCGTAAGTACTTACGAACCCCCAAAAAGGTATTTAGTTTTTTTTTCTATACATATAAAATCTTGAAACACATATTATATTTTTTATTTATCCTCACCTATTACTTACACCTATTGTAAAACAGAAAAAATATTCCATATTTTTTGACCCAAGCCAGTGTAGTTTATAATTCCAAGAGCATTTACCAAGGCTTTTACTAAGACAAGTAACTTCCTATACTGTCCATAATAGTATATATTTATTAAACGTTTAGTAAATTCTAAACTATGGTAGGTAAGTGTTTGCAATTGAATATTTAGTTTATATTGCTATTTTCTGTTATATATTTCTGGTTATTTCTTTTTCCGATGATTTTGAACACCCTATATATGCTACCCCAAGTTTGAATATTTTAACACTACCTATTTACTACTACTATATACCTAAGAAAGCAGACTTTTTTATAAAAAGTAACTAACTGATGTTTTCATAAAAGTAATAATACAAAAAATTCCATACTTATGTGGAGAACTTTAGACTCCCTGTATATTAAAAAATTAGTGAAATATTACGTAATCTAACCCGACAGTTGTGTGAAAAATGTCTATATGGAAATAAAACAGGTTTTAAAATACGCGTCAAATAAAGCACTTCTATCTCCGCCATATTGGAAAAGGTTAAATGGCTTTGTGTGGAGGTGGTGGTGGGTCAGCATGGTGGCCCGGCCGCGGCCGTGTTGCCGTTTTTCAACATGCCAGGTGTGAGGTATTGAAAATAAAGTGCGGATTTTTATTCTGGGCTTTTTTGTTTTTATTTATTTTCTTAAGAACGACTTCAAATTTTTTGAAAGTGAGATAACAGAAAATTCTAGAATTAATTGCTTTATTCAATTATGCTAATTCCAAAATATAGTGAAAGAGCCCATTATTATAATTACATAATCACGTTTCCATTTTTATAATTTTGTGTCAATACAGTAATTGAAAATTTAATGTGTCAATGTTATTCAACCTAGCCGCCGCTAGTAAGGGCAAGTAACACTCGGAACCAGAGCTATCGAAGGCGCTAACAATTAGATAGATATTTGACTGAAATTATAAATTCGGAAACAGTCTAATAACTATCTAGTTAACCTGTTTATTTTGTCAATGATATGATGACATGTATTTTTTGGATTCTAATTATCTTGGGAACGGTTGCTTGTAGCGATTTTGCCTAGAGATATTTTTTCTCTCAGTAGTGTAATACAGGTACGTACGAAAAGTTATTACTCTCAAAAATAGTTAAAAACATGTGGCGCGCAAATTTATTTAAAAAAAACTAAATAAAAATGAAACTTCTACACCCTGTATCTCCGAAATAAAGCATTTTGAACATTTTTTTATTCAATTTATACAAACTTTTTTACTTATTTTTATTTGCAGAATCATTGCTGAAGTTTCCCGAATACAATTTGGACCATCCTGTATATTCCAATTTGTAATTTTCATTGCTTTCAAACCAAATAATATATTACTAATTTACAATAAGTTTGTTAGCAATGGACAATATAAAATATAAGATAAAGTTTGTGCTTGCAGAAGTTTAGTTAGAATTTGTTCTTAATTAAATTATAAAGCCAATTTTGAATTACAAACAGACACATTTTGTCGGACCCTGTATATCAACAATCATTTTTTTTTGCTAGGTACAAGATTTATCTGAGTCGGCGGCTTTTGTTATTGGTATACAGGGTATACAGTGTGCGTCGGACGTCTATACAGTATTTCTAAGTTATTTATGATAGGAACTACGCCGCACTATGGTCGGACTCTGTATGTCCATAAAAATATTTGCCAAGTACACGAATCGTCGGAGTCCGCATTTATATAATTTTAGCACATTTTAAATTAAAAAAAATAGAAACACAAAAAATAACAATAAAAATTATAATAAAAATAAAACCATTTATTTCTGAATATTTGGCGGTCACTGCATAATAAAAATATATTATGTTAATAAATTTTGACCCAGTCTTTTTAGTTTAATATCTTTTCTGAAACCTTTTATATGCGTTTATCTAAATAAAATTCATTCTCATAAATTTTTATGGTTCATTATAAGAAACCCGTCATATTTCTTTGTTGAAATTAAATGCAAGATGGGGATCTCTTTACGTTCACCAGGCATTATTTTGAAAAATAATATTTAATCGTCTAATAAAACGAAAGATTTCCTCCCGTTAAAACTAAAAATAAAATTCGAAAATATATATGAATTAGGTCATTGTCATATTTTTATTTCTTTCTCATCATATTCAATAATAAAATTTGATATAAATAAAATTCAGGTAAAATAAGGCATTAACGGTGAAACCATTTATTCAGAGTGATTTAGTTTTATAAAAGAAATATTACATATCAAAGATTCTTTGTATCTGTGCTCTGATATTTCGATGATTTATGGTAAGTGATTTTGAGGGAATGTAATCGGAGAATGATGTGTATATTAAATATATACCTATCATATACATATAATAATAAACTATAAATTGATTAAAAAACGATCATTTTGTGTATTTAAAATATTTCAAAATTATGAATGAATTTTGAAATAATCTATAAAGTCGTTCCATGGTTGTTCCTATTTGCTGTCCTCCATTCGCGAATTTCAAGTTCCAGAGCTTTACGCCCTGGGCTACTCAGAACGGTTCTGAAAGGAGCTGTGCGCGATAGCCTGGTGCCTCCATATGGTGCGGAACAGTTCTGAACTTTATGACTCAATTGAATGGAGTGAGAGTATCGCGTTCTTGAATAGTTCAGAGCTACACAACTGTGTGAATGGAGGACAGTAATTACTGTTAGAACCGTGGCAACCTCCTATTGGCGGCAACTTTTTGATTGGCACCCTGTTAGATGTGTATTCCTCCATTCATAAATATATGTAAAAATTAGATTTTGATTGACTACATGATGAAAGTATTAATCCTACAGCCGGATTGGGTACTATAAATTCTTTTGATTTCCTTTTCAGTGGCTGAATAACCTGCAATCCTTTTTTTCAGAAATAAATACGTCACAAAAATATAGTCATTTAAAAAATAGTAACTCACAATTTACTTCCTAAATATCCACACAAATACTAATAAAAAATTCTACCTTCAAGTTATTAAAATTTTATAAAAAGGCACAGAAAAAACTACAATTAAAATACCAGCAAAAATATGATTTTGTCTTGACATTGTCAAATTCGATGTCACATTTTGTTTACATGAATTTGTGTAGTTTGAATAGGTTGGTTGTTTTAATATATCTAAGTAATCATGCAGATCAAATCAACTCATCAAAAGGCAAATACAAAACCCTCATGCTCCAGATGAAGTAACTAGATAAAACAAATACTAAACTACAATACTAGTAATCAAGCGATTTCTGCAAAAAAAAAACACTTGAAACTTGTATCTCGTATTACCCAAATAAGGAAATAAATAACATGCCTGAAATAAAAAACGACAACCTAATCTAGCATGCAACGCATTTGGCTATTTGTTGTCTGTCAGCTAACCAAAATACTTCTCATTACGTAGCAAACTGTAAAAAAACGCCAAGCAATCATGCCAGCCATCTAGTTATGTCCCTCCCAAGCCGGAGAAACGGGTACTCACAGGACTTCCAAGTGCGGCAACGTCGCTAAAGCCTTAGTAGGCACTCTGCGCAGTTCGTTGCCGTCCAATCTCAGGCTGCGCAGATTGGGCGTAGCCAAGAACGTGTCCTCCGCCACGTCTGTGATAGCGTTGTTGCCAACTTGTCTGCGATATCATGGAAATGAAGGTGAAATCATGAAGAAAATGTACAGAAACGTGTTAGTAGTGAATAAAGAGTGGAATGAACATGTGAATGTGGTGCATATAATGTTATTTGAATTTATAAACTAATATATAAATGAAATCAAACACGTAAAGAGTCATAATTGTTGTAGATTAATATACCGTATGATCGAAAAAAAAACGGCGTCAGCGATGGCTATGAAATGAAGGTTGCTGTCATTTTATATGTAAATTTATATGGGAAATGTCACCGATCGTCATTTCCCAGCCAACTGGACGCCGTTTTTTTTCGATCATACGGTATTTTTCTTAAATTATAAATTAAGTTTAAAACTAACTATAAATATACAGAATGCACACAAAATATTTCATTTAGTATTAGTAAGTATGGCTTAAATTCTTTTTAATTGTTATTTTATAATTTTGTATCTAACTTTAATGATATTTATGTTAGGACGCTACTAAGTTTATTTATTTCTCTGAGGAAAACAGGGTAAATAAAACATTCAAAGTTGAAATTGTTTTTTAAAGAAGAGAGAATTGAGTCTGGGATGACTTTGAATATTTAATAAAGTCAAAATTTCATAAACATGTTCTTTTTTTTTCGATATAAAATGATGATTGAAACTCAACATCACAAAATCCCATAAATATTTTTATATCTCTAAAATACGCCGCCTTTTTTGCCCAAACTTTTATGATATCCAGGATATAAAATTTACGGGAATAATAATAAAAAATGCTATTATCAGTTGGTTAAATTTTATTAGATAGAATGATTAATTTTCATTTTTAACGGTCCATTAATTTGTGATAGAATAGAGATTTTCGCTTGACTTTGCTCTAGTAAATTTTAGTTGTCAAAATGGATATATGTTAGCCGAAATTCGACCAATTTTACCAATTATTCTTCATATATTACAGTCTAAAATGGAGAATTAAACGTTTTAAATGATTTAGGTCATTTTATCCATTAAAGACGTTAAAAAAGATAATCGCTTATAATAGTAAAAATTAACAATTGCTAACATATGTAATTTAGTTTGAGTGTTTTTTTAATTTTACAAGGGACATTGCTGTCGAAAATTGTTCTTTTAGCCTATAGTGCGAAGTGTACAAGATGTCAAAGCAGCTTAACAGCCGTTGTAAAAAACGCATCCTAACCTTATTAGAATATTTTGAACGGAAAATCAGTAATAATGGCCCTTTATGTCCCTCAAGTGCTGTTAAGGAGGTGAGTTTTGCTGAGTAAATTATAACTATTTATACAGGGTAGTTTGAATTGTATTCTGGAAACTTCGGCAGCATATTCCGCAAATAAAAGTAAGTAAAAAAGTTCGTATAAATGTATGTCCTAAAATGCTTAGTTTCGGAGATACAGGGTGTAGAAGTTTCATTTTTATTTCGATTTTTTCCTAATAATTTCTGAAGTAACGGCAATATTTGGATGAAAATTGGGTATGGGAGTTTTTTGACATGAGAAATTTGGAATTTGATGTCAATATGACTCCTACTTGTAGAGGTCGCCACCTATATATTTTCTAACTGGTTCGAAAAGTAATTACTGTTCATCCCTATCTGTATAAAACTACTGAGTAAAAAAATATAAGACTTTTTCTACGTAAAAAATGTAAGTAATGGTTCCCGAGATATTTGTAGTCGAAATTATCAATACCTATTATCATTGATATAAATTAAACATTTTGACTAAAAAGTTATTAGACTGAAATCATAAATTTGAAATGTTTTTGTGTCAAAAGTTCAACAGAAATTGTTTTATCATAATTTTTTCAAAAAAAAATTATGATTAATTTAAAAATATAAAAAGTTCCCAATTTTATCATTGCAATCAACTAATTATCTACTCAACATGTTTATTTTTTGTCAAAAGTGACATGTATTGACTATTTCCGTTCTAAATATCTTGAGAACGGTTGCTCGGAGCGATTTTTGCCAAGAGATACTTTTTACGTAAATAGTCACGGAAATGTATATTTTTTCACTCAGTAGTTTTATACAGGTACGGACGAAAAGTTATTACGCTTCAGATGAGTTAAATCATATGTAGATGACGCCCTCTACAAATGGGAGTCATATTGACATCAAATTCAAATTTCTCATGTCAAAAATCTCTCAGACACCAATTTTCATCCAAATATTGCCGTTACTTCAGAAATTATTAGAAAAAAATCGAAATAAAAATGAAACTTCTACACCCTGTATCTCCGAAACCAACAAGTTTAGGACATACATTTATACGAACTTTTTTATTTATTTTTTCCTGCAGATTATGCTGCCGAAGTTTCCGGAATACAGTTCGGACCACCTTGTATATTTATAATCAATTCATTTTTGTCTTCTAAAATATTTTGAATAAAAGAAAATATGTAAAAGTTGACAACGCTGCGCCTGTCAAACTTAATCATGTGACTAGAAGTTGATTTGGTATGATCATAAGTATATTTATATGGTAGCATCCGGTTGACTTGGTCCAAGTACATTAGGACCGTGTCATCAGGCTTGATATTTTAAAATTACTCCATATTTTAGACATTTTTTCCCTAGAATTGGCAATATTTCCTTCTTTTTTTTTTTAAATTAAATTAGTCGAGATTTTCCGAGATATTTTACGCAGAGTAGCGTTCCCAAATCAAACGAAAATCCGACCAAAAGATAGATAGAGTGGTCTAGCTCTGGTCTTTGTGTGTGGTAAAGGACAAAAGGGCAGTAAATTTATCATTCCTACGGTCCGGTCGGTCTTTGTTAAGAAAGATCTATGTTTGGGGTGCGTCTTACTACAAATTCGCTGATTTACTACCACTATTAGTCAATTTGTCCTAATTCTTGTCGTTTTTTCAGAATATGTAACTGTTTGATTAGAAATTTCTTCTAACCAGCATTTCTTCTATTAAATATTTAACTTGGGAATCTTTTGTTTATTAATTTTTATTTATTTTTGTAGTAATACCATAGTATAACAAATAAATATTAGAAATACTTAACTGTTTTTTCTTATACTTACAGAGTTTGTAATTTGACTAGAGGTTTGAGGGCTTCAGACGGAATTTGTTTCAAACCACAATTCTGCAAAATCCTGAAAGAAAAAAATATGCTTAAATAAAAATATGATATGGCGAAATAAAAAAGTTTTTGATAAAAATTATATATTTTTATGGTCATTCAGGCATTTATAATATACACTTTTGTAGATAATGAATTGCTCACTAAGACAAAAAGTTAGGAGTTTAACAGGGCCATATTATTGTTTTTTATTCAATACTAGTTGAAGCCTGGCGCATCCGCCACGACATCAAGAAAAAAATATTTTTTATTTTTTTTAATTAAATGAAAAAAAAAAAAAATCCGGCGACGACAGTTTTTAGAAGAGCTAATTAGCTATCTTTTAGTAAAAAAAGCAACTTTCTAGAGCAAGTCGTTACTTCAGTAGAGACGACACAGATAAACATTAGCATTTTATATATACAGGGTGGCGCACCTCATTCGCCTCGGTTGATTATACGAAAACGGAAAGATGTAGAAACAAAATATTTTATGGGTATATGTGGGGAGTCAATGTGCACAATTTAAAATTATTTTGAAATATACAGGGCGTCTCAGAACTAAGATCTATACGAAAGTTATATTTTTTCTTATGGAACCCCCAGTATTTTATTTCATTTATGGATTCTTGGGCACAAAAAAAAGACATTTATTATAAGGGTTAAATATGTTTAAAATAATTGGTTTTTGAGATATTTACAGATATTTAAATATGCATGCTACAAGAAAATTGATTATCAATACCGTGTACATTACTTTTCAGAATTAATTCTTGTGCTGAGTTTAAAGGCAAAGAAATAAACTTTACTGAAAAATGTTATTGCTTCCTTAAATTTATACAGGGGTACCAAAAATTAGTTATTTATTTTAAGGATTTATTTTACATAAAAACTTTGTTATTTCAAATGCAACATGCTGTATTTTTTTAAATAAATCGAAGAAGATTCAAATGCTCTTTCAAACTATATTAGGGTTTCCTATACCTATCTATCTCAGATTTTGAATAAAAAGCGATTTTTAAATAAAATGGAAATCAAGATGGCTGGTATCGCCATGGCAATTTTCTAGTGACAGTAACTATTTTCAAAATCGACATTAGTTTATAGACTTTATTTAAATCTATACCAGTTTACTTTTATTTAATTAACCTACAATAGTTTAATAAATAATATTTACTAGTATATATTTATTATTCTACAAAGAAAAAGTAGGAAGTAGTTCTTTGTTTTATTTTACGATAACTTGTAGATATATGAATTTTTTACAAAAGAGCCAATTACGGCAAATTCAATTTCTTCACTTCCAACGACAGGTTTCTGCCTAATAGGTTTTTTATAAACTACACTACTAATTCTGCGAAATAGGAAATAGGACAAGTGGTTTTTCAAAGGAACGCTTATCAGGAAGATTCCTATCTTTGAGCATTAGCTCTTGAGGCCAAAAAATAATTTTCCTCACAAAACAAAATCACTAGTAACATATCCATTCGTTTCACTAGCAGATATGGCTTTATTTTTCTTCATAAAATAAAGAATACTTACTTATTAAACTATTGTGGGTAAATTTTAGTAAACTGTTTAAATAATAATGTCCATACGCTAATGTCGATTTTGAAAATAGTTAATAACTGTCACTAGACAATTGCCATGGCGATACCAGCCATCTTGATTGCCATTTTATTTAAAAATCGCTTTTTATTCAAAATCTGAGATATATAGGTATAGGAAACCCTAATATAGTTTGAAAGAGCATTTGAATGTGCGTATAAATGATCATTGAACGTTATGAACATAATGTCGTTTCTAAAATCAATTATTATTATTATTAATTAAACATATTGGCACCAACTTTTTGATTGGTACCCTGTTAAAGTGTATTCTCCTATTCACAAAAGTTATAATAAATGAAAATCGACTTCCAGTTGGAATTAATTAACTTTATTAACTTTAACAAAACTAACAAGGCGAAAAACAATAAGAGTTACAAAAAGCTGTGTACATTACGGCCGACGGTGAAGATGAATCTACCTATATTAGGGTTTAGATGGGACCTCGCAGGATCGCTCTTAAGAAAAATACTTAAAGCTGTCATTCATATATAGTCCAGGCCTATAACGGACCGTATTCCGGGAACCACTCATCGATGCATCAGCACTCGACACTGAATCAGATGGGGACACATACATAACATAAATATACGTAAAAATTGGGTTTTGATTAACAACATGATGACCATAATAATCCTGCAGCGGATCCTGTACTAGTACTGTTCCTCATATACTCGTAGATGTTTTCACTTTTCACCCTGTATACTTTTCTTAGGCATTTCTTGGTTAGCTTTCATCGCCTTATAAGCCATTTATTAAACAAGGTACGCGACAAATGACAGCAATAAATTCTAATAAAAATGCTAAAGCTACCTAGCACCATATTTATTACCCTGGTTAGTACCGTGTTATTACTTTGAATGTAACATTATTAAATTTAATAGCTGCTATTTATTAAACAAGAGTACGAACGGAGTTAATACGGTTTAAAAGCATTAGAGATATCATTCATCAATTTAAATTATTATTATTTAGTTGATAATATATTTTCACATGGTTTTATTTATATTGTAATATTTCTATATAGCTTGTGCGTTTCAAAATTTACAACTCCTTCTATTAAACCGATTTTTATAAAGCATTCATATATGATAATTTTTATAAAACAATATTATGATAATTTCAACCATGCACTACCCCTTTTCTCTCGCCTTTTCTGGTATAAAATTATAATTTATTTTGTAACTACAATTAACAAGCGAGGAGTATATATATATATAATAATCACGGCTTGTGAGATCTTAAGGAAGGTGGTCACAGCGGCCATAAATTTCTAATACTTATCTACATATTTTACTTACATAAAATATCTCTTTCTATAGATCATACCAAATAAACTTTTAGTCACGTCATTAAGCTTGGCCGGCACAACGTTGCCCACTTTTACATCATATTTTCTTTTAATCAAAATATTTTAGGAAACAAAAAGAAATTAATTATAAATATATAAACAGTTATTATTTACATCAACAAAACTCACCTCCTTAACAGCACTTAAGGGGCATAAAGGGCCATTACTACCGCTTTTCCGTTCAAAATATTCTAATAAAGTTGCGATTAGTTCTTGCAGCTATTAAGCTATCTTGTACAGGGTGTCCCATTTTGGTTGAAATCATACAGTATCTCCGTTATTAATGAAGATAGACGGATGCGGTTTGCACAAACCTGTCCCACTTTTTTGTCAAACGAAAGACGCTGTAAACAAAATTTTCATAGCCCTCTTTGTTTCTGAGCTACAGGGTCTTTTTAAAAAATCTCTGTTATTGCGAAAGGTATCGAGAAGGTGAAAACTGTTTATTGTAGAACTTTTTATGGAGAATAAAGTGGCGTAGTCTGTTATTCTACGAAAATAATATTTTCGAAGATATGAACTAAAGTTATGTTTTTTTAAATGGAACACCCTGTATATGTATATTTATAAATGATCACTCTATATTTGTTTTCACTATTACTGCAATATTTAAAAGTTTTTATTAAAAGATCATATTTATTAGTAGGCCATGATTGATAATAAAAGAAAATAAAGAATTATTAAAAGTATACTGCTATCTGTCTTTTGTTTTATTTTAAGGACCAGTAATAATTTTTTTATACATTAGGAAAACTTAACTCTCTACCGCTATTTGTAAATCTTACAAGTTATCGTACCGGAGCTTTTAGATATTCCTTTAGCTAATTTACGTGAAATATACTTTCAGCAAGATGGGGTTTCCCTAACAACTTTGAAAATATTAGAATTTTGTTAAATTATTATTTCTCAAATTAATGAATTGGAACCAATGGACCCATATGATGGCTTCCCTGATGATTCCCGGTTCTCGATTTCTGATTTTGGGGATTTTTAAAATATGAAATTATTGTGGCAACTACAACAATGTCGAACACCAGGAAAATTCTTTAATAATGCAAGCTTTTAGATATTTGTAAACCCATTCCTTTATAATAAATTCCGTTATAAAGAAAGAAAAATATATTCAGAGATTCCGTGATAACAGTTCAAAGTAAAATATGTCAATCCCAAATAAAATTTTAATGTGTGTATGACTATTTTTAGTAAATACCATTTTGATTTTTATGTTATTTATCATGGCCTACTAATAAAAAAATGATATATTTTAAATATTGAAGTAAAAATTGAAAATAAATATAAAGTGATATATATTTTTAAGAAGCTCATGGCAAGACGGATCATATGATTTATAAATATACAGGGTGTTCCATTTAAAAAAAAACATAACTTTAGTTCATATTTTCAAAAATATTTTTTCCGTAGAGAAACAGACTACGCCACTGTATTCTACATAAAAAGCTCTTCAGAGAAGGTGAAAACTGATTCTTGTAGAAATCTTTTTTTAACAATTTGTCTAAGTATACAGGGTGTTTCAAAAAACATGTGCCATATCTCGTGGGGAGATTCCTCAACTAAAAATAAGACTTATTTTTCATATCAACATAAGTCCGATTCCGCTTTGTTTCGTAGCTACAGCGTGTTAAAGTCTTAAGATTTTTTCGATTTATTATAATTTTCTTCCAAGTACTTTCAGTGATTTGAATGAAATTTTGGGGGTAAAAGTTACTATAAGTGTTACATAATTTAATGCTAAAAAAGGGCCAATAAATTCATCAGGGACGTGCATATGGGTTATTACTGGAATACTTTTCAAGAAAAAAACATGAGCGTCACTGACTTTTTTCTTTTGATATCAAAATTGTGTAGGCCGTTTATTGCCAATTAAAAGTTATCTCTTGAACCCAATTCCAGTTCGGCCCCCTTGATGAGATAAAAGCAATTTTATTAATCACAATTAATAAAATTAAAATAAAAATAAAATAATAAATTGTATATTTTACCTAATTTATTATTAAATATTATTAGTATTAGTTATTTTTACTATTAGTCCAACATACAGCAATTTCAAATAAAAAAT